ATATATATATATATATATATATATATGTATATATATATATTTTTTTCCTCTCCAGTTCTGGAATTGAACCCAGGGCCTCAGGTATGGAAGCACCAGACCCTGTATCACTGATCTATATCCCCAGTGCCTCTTAAAGTCTTTAAATATTTTAGACTTTAATTATGTGTGTGTGTGTGTGTATATATATATATATGTGTGTGTGTGTGTGTGTGTGTAATGTAGTTCTCATCTAATGTGGTAAATGCTGTTTTCCATATTACAGGTTGAAAAAAATAGAAGTGACTTACTTGAGGTCACATTATAAATGGTAGGATGTTTTAGTCAGCTTTTGTGTTGCTGTGTCCAAAATACCTGAGAAGAACAACTTAGATGAGGAAAAGTTTATTTGGGGCTCATGGTTTCAGAGCCGACTTCATTGCTCTGGGCCCGAGAAGAGGTACCACATCATGGCAGAAGGGCCCAGCAGAGGAAAGCTGCTCAGCTCATGGGAGTGGAAGTAGGGGCAGGAGGGTCAGGAAACAGAGAGAGGTGGGGGGGGGGGGGAAGGACCAAAGAGAAGGTGTACCTTTCCTGAGCATCCTCCCAGTGGCCCACTCTCTAGCCCGCTGCATCTGCCTACAGTTTTCACTTAGTCCATTCAAACTAGGATTAGAATTGGGTCACAGCTCTCATAATCTAATCATTTAACTCTTAATATTCCTGCATTAACAAGAGCTTTTAGGGGACATCTCATGTCCAAACCATAACACAGAGCTAGGTTTTGAATCCAGGCTTTCTGATGTCCCATTTTTCATTTTCAGTCCCTAAACTATAGTGGTTATTCGGAGGGAAATTTTGTTTTTCTGCTTCTGGTTACAAAAAGATTGTTGAGCTCATCCTCTAATTTTTTTTCATTTATCATCAAATTTTTTGTACATTTTTAGTTAACTAGCCTAGAGACATACTTTGTTATTCATTGTAGATGATCATGTATTAATATTGAAAGATTAAGGTTTTATAGATTTGAGTCTGCATATTTTGAGGCAGTAAGTAGCCTTGTTTGCTGAGTTTGTTTTGCAAATTTGTATCATGTCTACCACATTACACTTTAAGCTGTCTTGGTTCATTTTTATCCTTGAGGTCATATAAGAAATATATATGTAACAAATAATGGTATGTGGGAAATACATTTCCAATTTTATTTTTCTCTGTATTTTTGTATCTAAAACCCAACTATAGAACTTTGGTAAACTGTTGGAACATAAGACTAAAACACAAGTCTGTTGAGATTTTCTCCCTTTCTTGTAATTTTTGGAGAGAGACTCTCAGAAACAGAAGAAAACATTGTCATTTCTTTTTACTGTTCTGACAAATGAAAGAGAGTCATAGATGAGAATGACATGGAAAGAAACAACAGAATTGTTAAGTGTTCTGGCACCCTAGACTGGAGAGAAGGAAGCCATATTGACATGAATAATATTTTGGTTATGGCTCAAATGGTGTCCTGGAATCAGGTTATTATTTCTTGAGAAGGCCAGTGCCTGAGGAGAAAGAAAGAACCTGAAGAGATGCGTTTACTTAAGTTATCATTCCCTCTAAGTTTGAGTTGTCTTAAATTATATTTTCTACCTGTTTTTTAGGAGAAAAGAGCATCACATTATTGATAATGACTTTTGAACTTTAAAATTGTAATTAAATTGAGTAGGGAATATAGTTCAGTGTATAGTGCTTGCCTATCATGCACATGGCCCTGGGTTCAATCTCCAGCATTGCAAAACACAAAAGAAAAACAAAAATTAAAATTCAGTCTTTTTAGTAAAGAAATGTTGCCTTATATTGTTGTTCTCCTTGTGAACAGGCGGGGAATATCAGTTGTAGCTGTTTATTGGCTGTTATCATGGTTGTGGAAACCACTATTTACTTCCTTTTATCTAATTCAATTTTAGATTTACTTATTTGCCATAATCTAGATTTCATTAATTCCTACCACTAGTAAATTTCTTTTAAAAGAGTAAATTATTAATGTAGTCAGGTAGTAGTGAGGTTTTTCCTATATTCAGTAAATTATTTTTGTGTGATTTGTAAAATTGGAAAATTTCTGATTATGGAAATTCAATGTTTGAATTTAAAACTGATCACTGTGGAACTACATGAAATTTACATATATGTATCATTTGCTTAAAATAGGTACTTGTGGACATATTTTAGTAATAGTTAAAATACTGATATGCTGAAAAGAATACTGGATTTAAAAAAATTTTTTTAAAAATTTTTTTGGTACTGAGGGTTGAATCCAAGGGAGCTTTACTGTGGAGCTACATCCCGAGTCCTTTTTATTTTTTATTCTGAGACAGGGTCTTGCTAAGTTTCTGAAGCTGACCTTGAACTTGTAATCTTCTGCCTCTGCCTCCCAAGTTACTGGGATTACAGGTGTGCCCCACCATACCAGGGCAGATTCATTTTAAGTATCAGAGTTCTTACTTGATATAAATGTTACCTGGAATTTTTATGTTGGGCAGGTTTTTTTCTATCTTTTTCAGTTATTTGCCTGTAGGTGATATTGCATTCAACTGACCCCCAACTTTTCTAACTAATTAACTTGTGGTTGTCTTAACACAGTTGGCATTGGTTTTGAATAGCATAGTATTAATATTAATTGATATTTGTTCATATATAATTTTTTTTGCAGTGCTGGGATTGCATATGTTTATTTAGAAGTTTTTCACAGGATACATTATGATAAATTGTGAATTGTCTATGAAAGATGGGAGGAAGATAGGAAATTTTATTTGAATGAGTATATTGAATATTGGTATCCAGGTGCCATCTATTGAGTTACTCTAAGTGTTTATTATCAACTGTATTATATCAGTGTTTATTCATGCAGTGTATTATGGTGTTGGTTAATTGTGGAATATTACCACTGATGGACACTAGGATATTACAGAGATCGTAAATCATTCCCTTCTACCGTACTAGAATATTTCCATTTGCAGGTTTAATGCCAAATTTGTGGTATAGGAAGTATTCTGAGTTCAGAATAGAACTAATTACTATTTTACTGGGGCAGAGGATTGTGAGTTTGATGAGGATAGGATTTGAATAGGTGAGCATACTAGGCTAGGGGAATGGTTAGGACACAGAGCAAGATGTTTAGGGGACTACTTTTGCTAGAGAGTTTATAAAAGGAAGTATAGTAAATAAAACTGGAGATAGTTGTGGGACCAGATAGCAGATCAGATGAAATTTAGAATGGGGAATAAGTTTATATGCAGATTTTTTTTCCATGATGAGGAAGTATTTTTTTCAGGAAGAATGATAGTATCTGGAGTAGGAGAGGTTAAATATATTGCATAGGGCAAGTGTAATTGTGAGAATGAGCCTGTGTGTTGGTTATCAGGAATCATAGGGCATAGGTGAAAAGTCCTCTTTAGGTAAACAATAAGACTTTCTGGGCTTGAAATGATGATGTGAGTATAACTTTCATGTTGACTCTGGTTCATTATTGGAAAATATAATGAACATTACTTGCACGTGATTTCTTTTTCCTTGGGGGAAAAAAAAATTGAACCCAGGGACACTCAACCACTGAGCCACATCCCCACCTCTATTTTGTATTTTATTTAGAGACAGGGTCTCAATGAGTTGCTTAGCACCTATTCTTGCTGAGGCTGACTTTGAACTCAGAATCTTCCTGCATCAAGTTCCTGAGCCACTAGGATTACAAGTGTTTGACACCATGCCCAGCTCACATGAATTTTGAATTGGTTACTTCTGTGAATCTTTTTTTTTTAAATATTTATTTAGTTGTAGATGAACATACAATGTCTTTATTTATTTTTATGTGATGCTGAGGATTGAACCTAGTGCCTCACACTTTTGAGGCAAGCACTTTACCACTGAGCTACAGCCCCAGCCCCTCTGTGAATCTTTTAAATAAACAATACCACTCATTTAGAATTTATTGTACTTATTGTTTACATTCATTCTAAAGAATGCTGACCTCACTTTAAAAAAAAATTTATGAAAAGGAGATGGATTCTTGTCATGTTGCTCAGGCTGACCCCAAACTCCTAGACTTGAGCAACCCTTCTGCCTCAGCCTCCTGTACTAGCCTCCTGAGTTGCTGGGATTATAGGCTTGTGCCACTGTGTCCAGCTCAATCATGTAGGGGTTTTTTTGTTTTGTTTTTTGCATGAATATTTTTTTGGGCATGCGTTTTTTCTATTATTTTGTAGCATGTTCATTTATTCTCCCAAGGATCTGACTAATGCTATTCATTTTATTTTCAGTTTGGCTTTGGTTGAATAAGGAATTTAGCCTATATGTACTGCTTTAACCACTGGAAGAATGACAGATGACAAAGATGTGCTCCGAGATGTGTGGTTTGGACGAATTCCCACTTGCTTCACTCTGTATCAAGATGAGATAACTGAAAGGGAAGCAGAACCATATTATGTAAGTATGTTGACGGTGGTAAATGGAATAGTTAACTTTGTTCATTTTTGTAAATAAAGTTTTAAGAACCTGGAGGCTGTCATCTAACATTTTATATAAAACTAATCCATATTTTGCAAAAAAAAAAAAAAAAGGAAACAAAGATAAGCAAAAAGAAGGAAATACAAAATCACTTTTAATTCTGTCACCTAGAGTATAAAACCACTGTTGATACAATGTGATGCCTTCTTGACTTTCTTTTCTTGTTTGTGACTTATGACAGTGGAATCATATTAGGAGTATAGCTCAGTGGTTCAATTCCTAGCATCATATACATACAGACTTTTTTCTTTCATATATATATATATATATATATATATATATGTGTGTATCTATCTATATCATAGTGGGATCATAAACTATGCTATTTTTAGTAGGAGTTGAAATAATAGGTTCAGATTGGATTCTTTATGTTATATGTTCACTAAGCTAATATATGTTAAGCTAACATATGATACCTATTTAATAATATATTGGGGGTGATAATGTAGCAAAACAGAGGGTGTGTGTTCGGCATGCATGAAACCTTGGTTCAATCTCCATCATCCTTCCCGCAAAATATATATATGGAATATCAGTTGTTGCATGCAGACTTGTAGATTTGGGTTAATGGATTACTTGTTTTAAAAATGAGTTTCATGCTGGGTATGGTGATGCATACCTGTAAGCTCAATGACCTGGGAGGCTGAGGCAAGAGGATCCCAGGTTTGATGCCAGCCTGAGCAATTTAGCAAGACCTGTCTTAAATTTTTTTTTTTTTTTTTTAATTGTTTTTAAAGGGTTGGGAACATAGCTCAGGTGATGGATGTAGCTTAGTGGTAGTGTCTCTTGTACCTCAAAATTCTGTGGTATGTGCTGGTAGTCCTAGTTACTTAGGAACCTGAGGTTTGAGGGTCATGAGTTTACAGGTGGCCTAGGCAACATGATGATACCCCATCTTAACAACAACAACAACAACAACAAAACAACCAAATAAAACCCCCATGAATTTCAAGTATCTTCTGATTTTAGTGTGAACTTTTTTCTTTTTTGTCTTTGTATAGTAACAGACAACTTATGTGTCTGTCAATTAGAGATAATATCCTACCTATTTAATAAAGCGTCACAAATAAGCAGATTTCAATTGTTCTGTTTTTTTTCTTTTTGGGTCTCAGGTACATATATTGTTATTTTTTACTTGGAGAAGATATGGAAAAGAGGAACTATATGTGGGGTGATTAGTTGTTCTTCTGTTTCACTTGAATGAAGCTTACCCTGTGCTTATTCCCTTGCCTATCTGAGAGGCAGCACTACTCCTCAGCCTACTCTAGCTACTCAGATTGCTGGAAGAAACTCCTTATGGAGACTGGTCAGTTACTTTTTGGGTGTAGGAACATGCCTCTCTGCATCCTCAGCATCTGGCATGGGATGTGTAAATGGCAGGTACTTATGTTTAAAACCTCCCCAGACTCTGGGATTCTGGTTGAAATCTTCTTTTTGAATTTTCTTACTAGAAATGATGTTTTTAAAAAAGGTAGGTAATCTTGTTGCTGGCATACATACATTTAAGTAATGTTAACTTTGGAAATCTCAACAGCTTTGTGTCTTTAGCAAAATTTATAACTAAATGTGGTTATAATTTATTTGTAGAAAACATTTCCTTTATTAGATTTTTTTTTAATATTTTCTATTTCTCCTGAGGCAAGAGGATCCCTAGTTTAGGATTTGACAAAAGCCAAATCCCTCAGTTGGGATTATATTCTTTAATATTTAATATTTTTATTTTTTGAGGCATGGTCTCACTGAATTGTGCAGGTGTCCTTGAACTTGCAATCCTTCTGCCTCAACCTCCCAAGGTTCTGGGATTGCAGCTGTGTGCCACCATGCCTGGCCCATTAGTCCTTTTACCTTTCTGTAGTTAACTGTGCCTGTTCTTTTCTACTGTGACAATTTTTCTGAGCCCTGACGTCATTCTTTTTACTTAACTTGTTATCTCACTGTCTATGATAGGCCTCTATTCAGCCACTAAATGTGCAAAACCTGTCTGCATTCACGTGAACTTTTTTTCTCATTCTCTTTGTGTCTGTTGTGTTGCCTCCCACCCCCAACCCCCAAACCCCTACCCCCTGGCCTCTGCTGGGAATATTGAACCCAGGACCTCATGCTTGCTACTACATAAGTGCTTACTACTGAGCCACGTCACTGGTCTTTTTTCCTAGGATGCTGTCTCCTGCCTTCTCAGGAAACTGAGGTGTCTCATATTCTTCACCTTTGCTTTTTATTTTACTTCCAACTTCTTATCCATTTGTTTCATCACAGTATTCATATTGGCATAAATTCTTCCTGTCCTAAAATAACAATGTTTGTGACCCTCTCTTCCTCTCAACTTCTTGCTGTCCCTTTACAGGTAGGCTTCTTGAACAGATTATTTATACTCATTGTCTCCTTCTTACCACTTAGTTCACTGTAATCACATTTTGATACTATCGCAACAAAAACGTTTTTACCAAAGTCACTAATGATTTTTTTTCCTACCCAACATGGAGTTTTTTTGAATTTACATTTGTTTATCTTTGAGTAGTATTTGATATTGTTAGCTGTTTTCTCTACCTTGTGAAACTGTCTTTCTTGGTCTTTAGTGTTCCTGGTTTTTCTTTAGCCTTTGTTTTTTCACTTGTTCCTTAATGTTGATACATATTAGGGTTCTGTCTTCTCTTTTTTCACTACTTTTCTCATTTAAAGCTCTTGTTCATTTTTATGTCTTTGTCAAGCATTTGTATTTTTTATAACCCACCTGTTTTTATTTTTATTTTTATTTTTTTTGTGTGTGTGTGGCGGGGGGATACTGGGGATTCAACCCAGGGGAACTTTCCTGCTGAGCTACATCCCCAGTCCTTTTTGTTTTGAGACAGGGTCTCACTGAGTTGCGGAGGGTCTTGCTAAATTGCTGAGGCTGGTTTCCTGACTTACTAGGATTATAAATGCATTACCATGTCTGGACAACTCCTCTGGACCTATGTATACAACTGTTGGGAGATCCTTACTTAGATATGTTTAAGGAACCCAAAGTGTGTTTGAAACTGAACTCATCATCTTTATCCCTGGAGCACCCAGTCATCTGCCATGATTCCCTTCATATTTTGGCAAGTAGTCTTATCATTCATCTAATTATTCTTACCAGAAACCTGGTAAGATTTCATGAAAGGATTCATCCTTTCATGGTTCTTTTCTGATATCCCTTATGTTTGGTGAGTAACTTAGTATCTTCCAAACTTATATGATTTTCTTCATCCTCACAGCTATAGCTTAGTTCAAGCACCACTTAAAATGGGTGGATTGTGTAGCAGTGACCAGTTTCCCTGCTTTAGTCTTTCCTTCTTCATTTTCTAGGCTGCAGTTGGAGTGATCTTTTTAAAACATGGATCTTGTCTTATAAATTATTCATTGAAAGCTCTTAAAGGCTTTATATCATCTCTCAGATCCTTAGTATAGTTTACAAGGTTCTCCATAATCTGGCCTCTTTCTTCTAATATACTATTCTGTTCTAACTCTCTACATTTCTGTCATATTCAACTTCTTAAACACTCGAATGTGCCCATCTTGTTCTGCATTCACTCCATGCCTTTTGTCTTGCAGTGTCCTTTATCTGCAAAGAGCAGAAGTATCTTCTACCCATATACACACTCATGCATCCATATCTACCTTTGTTTCATTCCTATTTGTCTTTTATTCTTGCCTTAAAATATGCTCCTTGTCAAGCTTCCTAAGTCCCTAAGTTGGGTTAAAGTCCTTTGCTATTTGCTGTCGTGACATTCTTTATTTCTTAATTGCATTCGTCTCTTGTAATTTTATATTTAGTGTGTTTTCCTTTTTTAGCCTGTATACTCCAGAAGGACTTTCTGTCTCACTAGTGCCTTTTCTGTATTGCCTAGTATGATATTTATACACATTGGAGTAGAATAGAATTTTGGTATATTTTACTTCTGTTATTATCATAGATAAGTCTTAAGTTTGGTAACTGAAAATTGTTTAAATAGAATAGAACTTAATGTATTGGAGGCTGAGGCGGGATGATCACTAGTTCAAGGTTAGCCTTTTTTGAGACTCTGTCTCAAAAAATTAAAAAACAACAACAAACCAGCAGAAGCTAGGGATGTAGCTTAATGGTAATGTGCCCCTGGATTTGATTCCTCCACCCCCAAAAAGTCTTGGCTACCCTTTCCAGATATATAAATATTCCATACAACTGTATAAAACAAGCATTTATTCCTTTTAAATTATATAGACAAAAATGAATTAGTGTTAAAGTCATTGAGTATTTTATACCAGTGCTAAGTGAGGAATAAGACACAGTACATTCCATGGTAGTTAATAATTTCCTCAGATGTGATTAATCCTTTTCAAATAGAAGAACCTAAAAAACCATCGAAGATGTGCTAAGTGAAATAAACCACCAAAAAAAAAAAAAAGAGAAATACTGTATGATTCCACTTTCATGACATACTTAGAGTAGTTACATTCAAAGAGAAATAAAATAGAATGGTAGTAGTCACCAGGAACTGTGGGAAGGAGGATTGGGGAGTTATTGTTTAATGCTCAATTTCCTTTTGGAATAATGAAAAGCAAAGTTTTAGAGATGGATGTGATGATTGCACAATGTACTTTATGCTACTGAATTATACACTTAAAAATTTTATGGTAGATGTATTTTACCACATTAAGGAACTTGAAATAAGCAAATAAGACATCACCTAAGCAAAACAAGAGAGGATTTTTTTTTTTTTTTTTTTAAAGTTATTGTTGCTTGGGATCAAATCCAGGACCTTGAGCAAGCCAGGCAAGATCTCTACCACTGAGCTACACTCCTAGCCCAACTATGAGTCTGGAGATCCAAGGCAGGATGATGTAATTCCTTTTCTTTTTCTTTGCTTTTTTTGTATGTAAATATTTTCTAGATAAATTGTATCTGTGTGTATAATAGGTAGTCATTCTTAAGAGTTCTTTCTTAGTGTTGCTGTGGATATTTATGTTAGTTATAGATTATCCCCACAGGTCAATGTGGATCAGAAGATTGCAACTTTATTTTACTATGAGTTTTCCCCTAAAAATGGGTATTGTTTTTAATTATTAGTTTTGGTTCTTTGTTCCACTTGCCCTTTGGTAACTCTGATTCCTTTAGAAAATGCTTATTGTAGGTACTAGTTAGTGCAGTGGAAATGCAACATTGAATAAAACAAACAAAAATCCCTTTCTTACTCTTTTTTCCTTATTGGAATCCTTTGTGAATTCTTGAGCAACCTTGAACCTTAGGAATATAATATAACACTCAGCAAAGTCTCTTTAGTCATAATGTGTCTTCCATCTTATCATTTTCAATGGGTTAATATTATTTTCTGTGGAATACATTATTACTATAGTTCTGGAATCTTATTAGACTAATAGAATATACTCCTTATTTTAAAATAAATCTAATTTACTGTGCTGTTTTGATTTTTTTTTTTTTGAGAGATTGCCACGACACATCTGTATTAATTCTGTCATTTCCAAAGACTCCAATGAATCTTGTCTGCTATTTATTTAATAGCATATTCTTTTGGCAAGTTATTTATGTAAAACAGAAGTGATAATACTCCTTTTAAAAAATATCTAGTGTTTTTCCTTATATATACTATTCTTTTCTATTTTTTTCTTCACTGATCCATCATTCCAACCCTCATGCTGGTGATTGAACTCTGGGCCTCATGCATGCTAGACAAGTGCTGTACCACCGAGCTACATTCCCAGACCATTGGTTATTTCTGTATAAAGGATGCATTTTGTTGAATCTGTAATACTATCCAACAGCACGTTTGTAGTATTCAATGCCTTCCATTCTGTACTAGAGCATACCAACTATCTCCTTCCTACATTACTGCACACTGTACCTCCTAGGACCACTGTTATGGTCTCCTACCCAATTAAAGGCTGTTATCTTGAGTTTCAAGGATTAAATGTCAATTGTTTCAATAGGAATATTTCTTTGTATATACTTGCCGACCCATTAGTTCTACTTTTTGTATTGATCAAAAGATATCACCTTGGTAGCCATTATGAAAGATGGGACACAGACTCCTAAAAGCATCTGAGTAACAACACAATTTTAGCAGCAAAAGAAGGCAGATTAGTAAAGCATGAAATAGTTAAGAGTGTCTATTGCAAAAGAGGAAAAGCATGTTTTTTTTTTTTTTTGCCATCCTCCCCCTTTTTTTATATCTATTTGTGTTTTTTGTTTTTTTTTTTATAAAAATCATAACCAGTTTTCATGTTTTCTTCCTGGATCCTGTTCCTGGTGGAAAACAGATTTTCTTAAAGCTATTCTATTTAAGGCTTTATCCAACATTCTTTCTGAAATATTTTTTTCCAGTGCTGGGGATTAAACCCAGGGGTAATCTATCACTGTCCTACACCCTCAGCCCATTTTATTTTTTGAGACAGAGTCTTGCTAAGTTGCTCAGATTTGCCTTCAACTTTCAATCCTCCTGCTTCAGCTTCCTGAATAGCTGGGATGACAGGCTATTGTGAAGTCCTGGTTGATAAGTCAAAGCATACTTTAGGACTGAGTTGATTATCTTTTCAGAATTGTTTAATTAACTAAGGGGAATCATTTTAACTTTTAAGTCAAATTTGACAGAACTATTAAATATCCTAAATAGTATATCTAATTGCATTATATTTTTATGTGTTACAGAAAGATTGTAGATAGATTTGCATTCATAATTATAGGAATATATGTGATAAGCTATACTTAAAAGTAATGATGCCATAAAAAATAATCAAACATCTTAACCTAGCCTTTAATTTTCCATAAAAACCAGTAGGTTTTATGTGGGATATTCAAAATAATGGAAAGCATAGAATCTAGCTGTTTTTCCTTAATATTAAAAAACTGTTGTTTTTAAATACGCATTAAGTAAATATGGTTTTACAAATTTTCATTTCAGTTGCTTTTGCCAAGAGTAAGTTATTTGACGTTGGTAACTGACAAGGTGAAAAAGCACTTTCAGAAGGTTATGAGACAAGAAGACATTAGTGAGATATGGTTTGAATATGAAGGCACACCCCTGAAATGGTGAGTGAATTTTTCTGCATTATTAAGCATTAAATATATGGTAACTTTAAGAAGGTATAGTGCCCTGAAATGGTTGTAAAAAATAGTTCTCTAAAGAAAGAAGTACTATCCTAGATCATAAGTGATCATAAGTGAAGTTTAAACCATTGTTTAACTTTGTGTTAAATATTTCTGCCTTTTGTTTGGATGCATGGATGACTGGACAGTTTCATCTATGTTTAATATATTTTTATATGTTAATATATTTGATTATGGGTAGGTTTTTTTTAAAAATATTTTTTAAATTGTAGATGGACACAATATCTTTGTTTTATTTATTTATTTTTTATGTGGTGCTGAGGATGGAACCCAGTGCCTCCCACATGCAAGGCAAGCGTTCAACCACTGAGCTACAACCCCAACCCGGGTAGAGTTTTTTTTTTTGTTGTTGTTGTTTGGGGTTGTTTTACAGACATAAAATTTCCCTATAAACAAATTATCTCTCTGAAATAATTCAATTTTGTTTCTGTCTCCAAAGTCTTTATAACAGTTTTTATATACATATGATTAGTTAAGTGACATTTTTCAAACTGACTGCCAAATTTAGGTGACATTGTACCATAAGCACATCTTTGTGAGGCTTAGAGTATTTAAAATGTATTTAGTTCCTTCTAATGTAAAAATAATTTTGATATTATGTCATTTTCATGAAAGGTATTGAAAATAAATTTTAAAACCGGGCTTATCTGTGTGCTCCTAATTTTTTTGTACTTTTATCAGGAGTTTTCTTCATGTTACTTTCAAAACTATTAATGAGCTGGATGGGGTAATAAATTGCTGTTATCCCAGTGAGTGGGGAAGGTGAGGCAGGAGAATTGCAAGTTCAAGACCAGCCTCTGCAACTTAGTGAGATCTTGTCTCAAAATAAAAAATTAAAAAAACTGGAGATGTAGCTCAGTGGTAAAGTACCCCTGGGTTCAATTCCCAGTACCCCCTCAAAAAAAAAAAAGAAAAAAAAAAAAAAAAAAGGCCTAGAGAAAAAAATGCCTAGAGAAATTACAGAAAAAAAATTAAAAAATAGTTCAAGGTATGCTGGGATACAGCTGTTTAAATGATGCTATTTGTATGCAGTTGAATGAAAAAGTTAAGACTAAGACAAGATTTAAGTGGAATTTGAAAAATACAAATAGGTTAAAAATGGAGTTGGCTCCCAGTCGGGAATGTTAAAATGTGTATTTGACAGAGACTTAAGAAAAATAAAAGGAAGGCAATTAGGTAGTAGTTTTGTTAAGTGCAGCTAATGTGAATCCAAGGACCACTTGTTAGCAAGGTGTGAACTTTTGGAACTCACCTTGTACTGATGAAATCCTGAATTTGAAATTTTTGATTAATGGTTTAGAAACATGTAAGGTGGCATTTTGTTTTGAGTTGTGGGTCAAGTCTCACCTTTTTAGATGTTATAAGAAAGAATGATAAAGTAGTCCTACAGCATCCTTTTTTTTTTTTTTTTAAGTAAAACAACACTGATTTTCATGATCATATACTAGATTCATGACTTCTTGAAACCTTGGGAAACATTAATTTAAAACTTGTGATTGCTGAGAAGTCATGCTAACTCTGGTAGCATATATAAAGCAGTGTTTTCTGTTTTGTTTCTTAGAAGAATTTGGAGGTTTTGGAATGGGAAGGTAGATTGAAAGGAGTGTAATAGGAGCAATGGTCAGGAGAGTAACAGGGAAAGGCAGGAGGAGGAAAGATTGGTATAACTAGAAATAGGATACATCTAGGTGCTTGACAGTTCTAACTATGTTTTAGTAGACATTAAATTGTATTGCTTTATATGTATTATAAGATTATAAGAATGTGTGTAGCCAACATCTTTTCAGTAAATTTTATCAGGATAGAGTTTCTCAAGAGGGTTGTTCTTTACACTTTGAAATGGATTTTTTTTTTCTTTTTTTTCCCCTCCAGTATGGGGGATTGACAGTTTAATATATTTTATATGTTAATATATTTGATTATGGGTAGGTTTTTAAAAAAAAAATATGCTTAAACCATGGGCGGTAGTGCATGTTTGTAATCCCAGCAGCTCAGGAGGTTGAGGCAGGAGGGTTGTGAATTCAGAGATGGCCTCAGCAAAAGCAAAGCACTAAGCAACTCAGACCCTGTCTCTAAATAAAATACAAAATAGGGCCAGGATGTGGCTCAGTGGTCGAGTGCCCCTGAGTTCAATCCCTAGTACCCAGAAAAAAAAAAAAAAAAAAGTGTTTAACCTAAGCCACATCCCCAGCACCTCTCCCCACTTTAAAAAAAAATTCCATGCAGAGTCTTACTAAGTTGCTTAGGGTGTTGCTAAGTTGCTGAGGCTGGCTTTGAACTTCCAATCCTTTTACCTCTGCCTCCCAAGTCTCTGAGATTACAGGTGTGTGCCATTGCATCCACTCTGAAATGGATAAGTCTTTGTTGTGGTGCTACCTTATGCATTATAAGATGTTTAGCCACAGCTCTGGCCTCTTCCCACAAGAGGTTGAGTGCCCCTGAGTTCAATCCCTGGTACCCAGAAAGTGTAGCCTGTACACTTCCCAGTCATGATAAAAAATGTTGCCAGATGTCCTAGGGCAGGGACAAAACTGCCCCTGATTGAGAAACTCTGGAAAATTTGGGAAACCTCAGTTTATCTAAAGTAAATTAATCAGGTTTTCCTAAGTCATCATCTTTCAGCTGGTGTTTTATTCTATCTTGTGTGGTTATTTTATATTCAATATTGTTTATTTCTTATAGACTTGTATTCTAGATAAGATATCAATAAATAATGTTTGGATCCATTTTTCCCTTTTACTGCAGAACAATGATTTTGGTTTAAATATACCATGTTCTTTTTGCCTTCTGAAAATCTTTTATTAAAGATTGAAATTGTTCCCTTTTAAAGAGCTTGTGTGAGAGTAATTGTATTTAAGTATTTTCATTTTAGTTTTTTGGGGTGTTAACTTTTTATTTTTGATTAAAAATAATTATGTCATGCTATAAATTCATTATTTAAATATTTTATGGGTCTTTTCTTTTGGTATTTTTAAGTATTCCATATATATGAGAAGTGAATGACTTTTCTGAGCCAAGTCTTGATCTTTTCTGGTTTTGCTTCCAACAGTGGCAGTTTCCTCCTGTGTTAAATCTTCCTGAAAATGGTTTATCAATGTAAGAATCTGTGTGGTATTAAAGTAGTAGGTTTCTTAGAACAGAATGATACTGAGAATTACATTCATTGTTTTACACTGAAGCTTTGTGAAACATGGACTTTTGAGACCACGTGTATCTTAAGAGTAGAACAGAATTTATTTGAGTAGGGTGATAATGTCTTTCTTATACCCTATTGTTTGGAGTTTTAAATTGACTCAAGTAGGAAAAGTACGAGTGGAAATCAACCATCAGTTTAGATAATTCATAAAAGGGAGAAAGTGCATAAACTGATAATTGTTCTTTCTTTATGACTTTATCCCTGAAAGCGTCCCCTAATTTAATTACCTAATCCTGTCCTTTCATGTAAAGTGGCAGTTCTCAATTATAAGGGGGAAAATAAATCCTCCAAACAAAAAACTAAAGTTCTAGAAAAATAATGATTTTTATTGTACTCAGATGGTAAGATTACACTTTCTCTTCCTATAGGTGGGCCAAAGTCAAGAGTGTTAGCAATATGATTTTGAAATACTTGGTTTTAAAGATTATTTTGGAAATACTGTGTAAAGTTGAATTAGCATTAATCGATAATAGTGGAACAAAGTATTCTTAAAGTAGGTTTTGTTTTCATGCATTGTTTTGTGTCCTTGCCTCACTTTCTTCCTAACTTGCTGAGAATTTTTGTTATGGATATATGTTGGATTTTTGTTAAACTTTCTGAGCCAGATGCAAGTTGAGTATCCTTTATCAGAAATGCTTGGGATCAGAAGTGTTTCAGATGATGAAATTTTTTGGATTTTGGATTTTGGAAAATTCTGGATATTGGGGATGAGATCCAAGTCTAAACACAACATTTCTTTTTGAAGTACACCACACATGGCCCGAGGGTGATTTTATGCACTTGTTTTTAGTGCACCTGCATTGTGTGTGTGTGTGTGTGTGTGTGTGTGTGTAGTTCTGGGTGTTCAAACCCAGGGTATCACACATGTTAAGCCTGTGTTCTACCACTGTACTACATCCCCAGCCTCAGTGCACCTGCATTTTATTGTGATCCATCACTCCAGGTCAGGTGTGGTATTTTCCCTTAAGGGTGTCGTGTTGATGCTCAAAAGTAGCAGATTAGAGCATTTATAATTTTCAGATTAGGAATGCTCAGCCTGAATTTCTTTAGCTTGTGTCTATTTATAGATTATATTCATGGTTTTTGATGCTGGACCAGTACTGCATATCTTTAATAAATCCCACTTGATTGTGTTATGTAACTAATTTTATTCATCATTGGATTTTTGTTAATATTTTATTGAAGATTTTTGTACTTTAAATTTGTAGGAGAGATTATGGTTTTCTAATTTTGTACTGCCTGTCTTTTATTATTTATATATGACAGTGGATTGCATTACAATTCTTATTACACATATAGACCACAAATTTTCATATCTCTGGTTGTATACATAGTATATTCACACCAATTTGTGTCTTCATACCTGTACTTTGGATAATAATGATCATCACATTCCACCAAATTAATAACCCCATGCCCCCTCCCTTCCCCTCCAACCCCTCTGTCCTATCTAGAGTTCGTCTATTCCTCCCATGCTCCCTCTCCCTATCCCATTATGAATCAGCCTCCTTATATCAAAGAAAACATTTGGCATTTGGTTTTTTGGGATTGGCTAACTTCACTTCTCCCTGTAGTATGCTGTTTTTAAATCCTTAGAGTATAGACAGAGGAGAGGGATAGCTGGGTCAAATGGTGGGTCTGTTCCCAGTTTTCCCAGAAATCTGCATACTGCTTTCCATATTGGCTGCACCAATTTGAAGTCCCACCAGCAGTGTATGAGTGTACC